TCAAAGTATGGAATGGATGACAATGCTTCAACTTCCAAAACAAGCATCTAGCAAATAAGAAATGATCTTGCAACGAGGAATATTTGAAGCAATCCACGAATCTTGATTCTTCAATAGTCTTAAAAAAAACGGGTTCTAGGATATATATAGACCAAGCACTGAAGTAATGTCTTTATACTTCATTTTCTAATGTAATCCCAAAGATCTTCAATAAAGCCAAACCCACCATAAAAACCCATTTCAGAATTAAGAAACCAAATTACTTCTTGTCTTTGAAGAACTCCCCCTCCAAGTCACAATGATCTTCAAATAAGCTAATGATATAAGCCACCAAAAATTATCATGTAACAACCCAAATTTTAAGATTCGTAACGCCACTTGATCGAGAAAATACTAGAAGTCGGATATATAACAAGTCCTTAGAAGAGATCGATGAAGAACTGCTACTGTAAATGATACTTCTCTGTAAAAGCTTTAGAAGAGCTCGATGAAACTGCTACTGTAAAAGCTACCTTCATAATTCTACCACAAGCTTTATCAAAAATCTTCAAATTTGAAAAGTCACAAATCCAATTTCAAATGGCCATACCAAATTCTCCCCCGATTTATAATAAAAAACATGATTATAAAGCCTTCAAATGGTCATGAGAAAGATATTGAATGGATAAATAATTATTGTGATCCCCCGTGACAAAACGATATAAACGATGAAGTATAAAATCCGAAAAGTCGAAAAAATTTGACTTTATTGCGAAAAACGACTTTCCGAACCGCCAAGACTTGATGGAATCTTTAATTTTCTGTTCACGAAAAAAATATGTGCGTTAAAATATCCAAAACTGTTCACCAGCCCTCAAATTCGTAAACTTTTTGAAAAAACGGGTTGAAACTGCCACACTGCTGAAAGTCGGGGACTGAAAATGTAACTCCGCATCAATTCCCCCTTTAATTGGAACAATTTCTGGAATGGACCAAAATAGCCAAGTCACGAAAAGTATAGGGACCAGATCGTCAAATTCTTGAAGTTGCAGGGACCAAGTGTGAAACTTTGAATTATCTTCTTCCCTATTTAGACTTTGACAGACGAATACAACAACTCAAACGAATGTTCCCCAAACAAAAAAAACCATAAATCTGATTCCGATTAACCAATAACTCCGATTTTATACTTTCGTTCCAAGCACCAAGATGCGAATCCAAGTTCGTTCTGAGCACACGGATACAAACACGAATCTAGGTTCGTTTAGAGCACAAGCCTTCATACCGAGCCCTGAGTTCTGAATGCCAAGTATCACACCCAAAGCGAACGTTCGCATGTGAACCAATTTTCACTTTTCGTTGGTCAACCCATTCGTTCCGATCAATTTCATAGATTTTCGTTCGATCGTTCGCAGGTAAGGTTCTTCAAACTAATTTTGACTTTTGCGTTGACCACTGTCCTTCCCGATTATCCATGGTCTAGTTACGAATCTGATTCCAAACACCAGTGAACTCCGAACAACATTCGATCCGCCATGTGAATTACGATCCCGAGACCAACTTCCGATTATTAGACTCCTTTCGTTCCGAATCAACCCATCGAAAACACGAAGCAAATCAAAACCGAATCCAATCACAGGTTCTTGAGACGAATCCGAACACAGGTTCGTTGCGAGTCGCGGACAACGAACGTTCGCGGGTAAGCTCACAATTTTGACTATTTCTGTTGACTAGCAATTGCGAATAAGCACACAACAACAAATCCATAGCCCAAACATTCGCAGGTAAGAGGTTCGCAGGTATCAAGCATGCGAGCCCAAAATTCCAATCACTGAACCAATATCATTCGCAGGAAGGACATTCGTCCATTGTTCACAGTCAATTTTGACTTTTCTGAATGTGCCTTTGACTATCAATTGCGAACAGATACACAAACACATTCTGCTTCCAGGACCATTACACCAACTACAAACCATCAATCTTCTTCCCAATTGAAGTCCAGTTCCAATTTCACTCGTTCTCAGATCAATAATTCCAATTTTGACCTTTTTAGATTGACTCTCCAAATAGACATACGGTGATGTTTATCCGTTCATCATCAGACATCGAGATTGCATTCAAACAAACACCCAATCGCCACTTCCATAAATCGATTTCAATCATAGATAAATCATAACGAAATCATCGGAAATTTTCAAGATCACACGACTCAAATTAATCGATAAATGAGAAAATCAATTTGAAAAAAAAATAACTTGGATTAAAACTGAAAAGAATCGATTGTCGATCTTGAACAAAAACTTGATATTGATTATTGATAATCACAATTTAGTGATCTAAGGATCTGATTCATTGAATAGAGGACGCAACAAGAATGGAAGAATGGAAAATAAGAAATAATAGTCAAGGCTTTAGGTCAACGGAAAAGATGCACACAGTAACAAATTGAACAAATAGCAAAATCGATTTGGACTCAAGATAAATCGATGAACAGTAACAAACTGGGCTTAACATCGGTTGGAACAATTGAATTTCATATCCAAATAAAAACAATGAACAGTATGAACACGTGACTTGGGGTAAAACATAGATCTATTGAATCAAAAGACTTTGATCTCAAATCATATTAGATCCAACAGAAAATAATGAATTGAAAGAGAATTGGATCAAATTACGACAACGTACAATAGAAACTTTATAAATCTTCATGAACAGAACTTTGAACTAGAACCTTGATTACAATCCGCCAAAACACCAATAATCTTCAATAACTTGTACAGAAAATCATCAAACCAAGAACCGATACTTCAAAAATCAATAGATCTTCAAAGACCCGCTCTAATACCACTTGTTAGGATTAAAACCCTAATTGTGATTTGATGAACAAGATGCGGAAAATAAGAACAAACACAAATATGAAGATATGTCGAATAATCACTCGATTTATTCAAAACATGAGGAATAAATTACACTTTCAGCATAGACTAAAGAATCTAAAACTACATAAGAAACCTCACAACGTGGCGGCTACATTTTACCTCATTCTTAACCCTAATTATGAATAATACATGACTATTTATAGGGAAAAGACAAGTCTTGGGCTTTTAATCTAAACTTCATCAAGGGGGCCCATTGCCATTATCCATTGAGTACTTTGAAACCCTACAACCAAGTTTAATCGAAATGGGGGAAGATGAACAAGGAAGTCATGTTGTTTAGCGATTTGTATAACAAAACGAAACAACAATAGAGAAGCGTCGAAATCGATGATGTGATTTTGTAGAAAGCTTTAAAAGTCTACCAAAAAGAAAACAAGAAGCCTTTCAAGTTTTTTGAAGTTTGGAATCTCGTCAAAGAAAAGAAAAAATGGCAATTGAACAAAACATTCGACGACCATATCGAGAGTAGTTCAAAACGGTCAAGAACATCTGAATCCGAGCACACTACATCTGATGCTCGTATTGGTTTCGACCTCAATGAAGATGAACCCGTTCAAATTTCACCACCTTCCCGACCAATGGGAAGGGACAATACAAAAAAACAAAGGAAAATGCAAAGCGTCAGATTCGGATGATTTGAAAGACATCGGGGACGATATGAAGGGTATACAAGATAGATGAGACAAAATTTTGTAAATTTCTTCCAAAAGAGAGCTTCGGAAAGAAAGGAAAAATGACTTGAAAATACTAACGATAGACATGTCGAACCTGACCGGGGAAGAGCAAGAAATTTAGGATAGTTTTTAATGTGATGTTATACTTTTTTTCAAGTAATGCAATGTAATGGGTTTTATTTTTATTTAATAAAATATTATGTTTTAATTAAAACTAAAGTTTTTATTTATAAATGGAGAAAAGAGTAACGACTTTTATTGATTAGTGACTATTTTAGTGACGGAATGAGTCGTCACATTATAGTAACCACTACATTTTGGTCACTAATCAGCTTAGGGACTTATAGACTTATAGTGACGAAAAATGATCACCAATATTTTGGTCACCACTCTTCTACTGTTTCTGACAATATTGTTTTTGTCACTAATTAGCATTTTTTTCTAGTGAACGGTAAAGTAGGAATGTAGCCAGCATGATTAAACTTATTATATGGAATTTTCGGTTTTGTCACTAAATAACATTTTTTTCTAGTGAACGGTAAAGTACGAATGTAGATAGTATGATTAAACTTATTATATAAAATTTCTAGTGGGAAATGGATTGATTAACCTGATTAAACTTATTATATAGAATTTCTAGTGGGAAATGGATTGATTAACCGTTATTAATAATATTTTTTAATGAATATAAGTTTTTGAAAACGACAATGCCTATTATACATGATTTGTGTGGGAAATGGATTGATTAAACGTTGTTATTAATATTTTTTTGAATGAATATAACTTTTTAAAACATCAATGTCTATCTTACATATCGTTTTATGAGAAAATAAAAATGTTGTTGCAAGTCAATTTTCACCCACAATAAAGAATATGCACTTCCTCTTTAATTATTAACCTTTGAATGTATTGTTTAATTTCCATATTAAACTCATCTTACAATATTAAAATATTCTTTTGTTGCTTCTTCACTGTGACAAATCACTTATAATTTAAAATAGGTTCCTAACATATATAAAATTTTGGATGTTGAAATTTGGCATAAAATAATATAAAAGAGACATTAATAATATGGTGGAGTTTTCAATCCTTAAATTAATATATACAAATTTTGATGTGGAAACTTAGCATAAAGTAATATAAGAAAGACATCAATAATATGACGGAATTTTGAGTCGTTAAATATATACCGTTGGTTTATTTTATTTAAATGATATACAAAACCTATAACAAAATAATCAAACTAAAAAAATCAAATTACACGAGAATATTGTATGATTTGTATCTAACATCCTTACAATGGATATAATTGACGAAAGCAAAGATTTTGTAATCCTTAGGGCTAAGCAAAGTATCAGATTAAAAATCACGGATTTGAATAAAAAAGCATCTTCATTGATGGTATAATTTAGTAGAGAGCCAATGACCAAAATGCCATCAAGAAAACTATTCCACCAGCAACACAAGCCAGGTCAAGCCGCCTCTCTCTCATCTCCATCATCTCTTTTCTCTCTCTTCTCATTTGAATATACTCTTCGTATCTCCCTTTCAGGTCATCACCTCCGCCGTTGAACCTTGTGCTCCGCCGCTCCGCCACCGTAAGTCCTTGTAGAACTTCCATACTGTTCTTCCCGCTTAAACACTTCCCATCTATGTCCTGAACAGTTAAACTCATCCCACTCACGTATAACTCCCCGCTGGTTCTTTTAACCCCGCATGTAATCTCTATGTTGCAGTTCACGTAGTCGTTATCATGCACAGAAACGCCGGAAACCGCCACAAAGGCAAAAGTCAACTCTATCTCATCGGTCAACCAGTTCCGTTGAACAGAAACTGGTTTTTTGCTGGATAGATTCACAGCCCGGTTCTGGGATGGGTCTATCAAGATCCAACTCAAAGTCATGTGCTTTTCAAGATTCGATTGCATTACCTGATCATCGCCGGAAAACTTCACCACCGATGGGATGAGTTCTTTGGGTTCGAGTAGGTCAATTCGAAACGGCGAAGACTGGAACCAGTCGCTCGGTGTGGTATTTGTGGCTTCAACCTTTGAGAAAACCAGCTCGTCGTGGTATCTGATGTCCACGGAGGAGATGATTTGGGAGGTTTGTGGTAGTGGTGAGGTTGTGGTGAGGTGGTTGGAGGGAGATGGGTAGGAGTCGGAGAAGAAAGAACGGTGGCCGGAGGGGAAGTTGGAAATAGCTTGTTTGACTAAAGGGTCATCGGTGGAGGGCCAATTGGAAGAGCAGATATCTGACCATAGTTTCTCGTCGGAGCAAAGGAATTGTAGCAGCGAAGATGTGCAGCCGGCGGCTGCGAGAGTTTGACCGTTGAGTCTGGTCAAGATGTGAGTTTGAATGATATCTTGATGGATTTCTGCTATCGCCATGGATTTCCTTCTGAGCTCTAGAATGGCGGAAAGGACTAAAAGGATTGGTGAAATGCGTGTATGTGCCGTGGGGTATATATCCTTTTGTAAAATAAATAAATGCAATATACATCCCTTCACTTTGACAATATTACAGCTTAAGTCCGTGGAGGTGTTATTTGTTAAAGATAAGTTAAAAACGGTTTAAAAATTATGTAAACCAAAAACAACATTGAACGATGTTTAGACATAGTTAATGAATGGAAAAGGTTGGTCAATAGACGGAGCCTGGATGACTAACTACAGCAAAATATAGGAAAATCGTAGCAATGAAGTTAATAAAAAAACAATAGCATGTTGGTTATTTTAGTATAGTTAATACTGTGTGAGATTCATATGCTATATTTGTTTATTAAAAATAAAAATTCGATATCAATATATAAACATTAAATATTTTATAAAGTAATTGAAAAAAAAATCAATACGTTTATAACATTTATGTGAATTTATTTTCAAATTAATATAGTGATAACTTTACATGAATATAATAAAAACATTTCATATATAACTTTAAATTCTAGGAATTTAATGTAAGAAAAGTAGAAATCCAAAAAAATAACAAGTGAAAAAAAAAACAAAAAAAAACCAAAAACATATTTTCAAAAAAATCAGAAAAGGTCATGCAGTAAAATGAAGGAGAAGAACGACATGTGTCAAAATGATTTTCATTTATTAGGTTAGATTAATATCTAGACAAACTGTTTAAATAAATGCAATATACATCCTTTACTTTGACAATATTACAATTTAAGCCTTTGTGCTACAACAACGTGACCAGGAAGGTGTAATTTGTTAAAGATAAGTTAAAAATGGTTAAAAAATTATGGAAACCAAAAACAACATTGAACGATATTTAGAAATACTTAATGAATGGAAAACGTTGGTCAATATATAGAGCCCACATGACTAACTAGTAAAAAAACTTGGAGCAAAATATAGGAAAATCGTAACAAACTTTGACGTTAATAAAATCAATATCATATTGGTTATTTTAGTGTAGTTGATATTAATATCGAGACAAACTGAATTCAATTGACTTTCTGAGATTGGAGGTGAGAGTACACACTCGGAATGATAAACGTGAAATCGGGAATACGATGGTCTTACCAAGGGGCAATGCCCGGTCCAACTGGGAGAGGCCCTGGCAGGGGTTCCACTAGTAAAAACGAAGATTCTAATTGAACTCAGCTTGTCTCGATATTAATATTAACTACATTAAGATATGTTAATGACACTAAAATAACCAACATGTTATCGTTTTTTATTAACATCAAAGTTTGTTACGATTTTCTTATATTTTGTTGCATGTTTTATTACTAGTTGTCATGTGGGCTCTATATATTGACCAACCTTTGTATATAACCAAGATGTTAACGTCACAAATGACATATAACAAACCAAAAATTATGTAGCGTCCTAAAAATTACAAAGAAAATTTTCATGGTTAAAATAAGTTAACCGATTAAAACCTTTATTTCAGAAATCATTCAATAGCATTCGAATGATTGGAATCATACATTATCATAGTTAAATTTACAAAACCACATAAACGAAAAATTTTGGTGTGTGTGTACAATCCCGCTAAGCTCTTCTCACGAATGACCTGAAAAATATTTAATCCACAACTATAAGCATAAAGCATAGTAAGTTCCCCTGTACACCACATATTCCATCATACATACAATGCATCCACACAAGATCTCGACTCTAGCACCGAGCAACCAAATCTCCTAGTCACATACATATATCTACGTAACAAGCCCAACCCAAGAGTATCATGGGCCCAACCTAACTCACATAACGGGCCTCGCCTAACCATACATAGCAGGCCCCGCCCAACTATACATAATGGGCCCCGCTCAGGAAGTTAATGGGCCTAGCCTAACCTCCACTGGCAGGGGCCACCTCCTGGTCTTCCATTAAAGACATAAAGTCGTATGTAGTCAGGAATCAGATAGACAGTCAAACAGATGATCCACCTGAGACCGAACAATTAGACAAAAACATTACAATTAGGCATTAGACCAAGAGGTCTCAGGCTATCCAACATAAACCACATAGGACCCAAGCTATCACTACCACATAACCATATAGCATAAACACATGTGTAACTAACATAGTACGTTCCCTTGGCAACTAGCCTTCCTTAGTTACCCTACCAAACATGTCTCCAAAGAGAATCATATGATCAACAGTCAAAACCCGACTAGTTTAGCATACTAAATCACCAAGTGTTCTAAATTGCAAGGCATAACAAGAATTCACCATAGGACACTAGCATACTTGTACTTTAACAGTACCTATATCATACCATGTAAAATATATACAATGGGATACGTGGCATGGTGAGAAACTCACCTGAATCGTAGAACCGGAAAAGCACAACAACACACTATATCCTTGTATTGAGGAATCCATCGAACCAGCTAACATCAAGACATAAAAATTCCCAATCTGTAACCCAAATCCTCCAAGTTTGACCCTAAGTTAAACATGTCAAAAGTCAACGGTCAACCCATTCAAAGTCAACGCCACGTCGTGGGCCCTCTGTGGCTACATCGTTGAAATGTCAAGACAAACACTCAACATACAAGACATTGTCACATCGTGGGCCCCCCTTGGCCACGCCGTGGCAATGCCAGGACAAAATATTCGCGGTTCTAAACTTCACCACGTTGTGGTTATCCATTGGCCATGTCGTGACCACTAACCATATGCCATTTCTCTCATTGAGAGTTTAATCCTTATAGATCAAGGCTCATACTTCCAGATATACTTCTTCTCAATGACTTAATGGATTAACTTTCCAACTTTATCCATTGGGACTCCTCTCCAAGGCATGATCTTAAACCTTAAGTCCATTAAGCTCTTAATATGACCAAAACTTGAACATGGGACCAAGAACACTCAAGCTAAGACCCCCTTTTTCTCCATTAACAGAAGTTCATGACCACAAGAGTCCCATAATAAGCTTTGGAGTTTCTCCAAACTCCAAGAGTTTCGAAGAATGGACCAAAACCACTCATTAAAGACCTTAAACATGAATCTTGAAAGAACAAGGTCAAGGTGCGAGCTTTTTACCTCAAAAGATCTAGAAACTTGAAGAGGATGATGGATCTAGTCTTGCTCTATGATTCCTTCCACTAAGAAGGAGCTTCTTTCTTCACAAGCTTCACTAAGTGTAACGTCCCAAAAACTAAGACCAAAAAGTTTTGTTTTTAAATTAAATAAAACTGTAATCCAAAACACCATCATAAAACCAGAGTGGAACAAAGTGTATTAAATACATCATGAAACATCAGAGTAATCATAAAATGCGGAACGAGGTGGTGTGTGCACTGCAATCATCCCAGACTCTTCCCTCTAGAACCAGAAGTACCTGAAACATAAATTGAAAACCGTAAGCACAAAGCTTAGTGATTTCACCAAAATACCACATACCATACATAATAAGCACATAATGGGCCCCGCTCATCATCGCGCCCCGCCAGGCATCGAGCCCCGCTCGGTATACAGATATGTTAGTCATCAGGCCCCGCCTGGCATCGGTCCCCGCCCGGTATATATGAAAACATATAAACATGTAATCATACAACACATGCGATAATAACAAAGATAATAGTATACAGAATAGTCACCGGGCCCTGCCCGGCATCGAGCCTTGCTAGGTAAGAATACAAACACATAACACATGCAAGAGTCATACAGACATTTAGCATCCTAACCTAATAAACCATGGGCCAGCATTGGTGTCTTAGAACCACTATACACAGTGAGGAAACTTACCTCTAGCTATTGAATCACTCGAATGAATCTTTGACTGCTGGCCCGAAAAGTCCCCGTACTATCAAAATCAATAACATCCAATTATTAATTGGATTTCGACCCATAACCAAGAGTCTAAACTGCTTAGCCCATAACCAGGGTAAAAGACCATTTCACCCTTTATCTAACTTGGCCTAAAGCCAAGGCGCAACTCAACTATTCAAAAGGCACAAATCCTAAGGCCCAGTTTATGACCCAATCTTCCAAATTGGGCCCAAAACCCATCATGGGCCTAATATCCAAGGAAGTCCAACAAGCTATCCCTAAGCACAAAACAGAGGTCTAGTGGCCCCACCAGACCCAAACTTACAAACCTAACAATGGTCCAATACCAAGGACGTTAAGCCCAATAGCCCATCTACTGAGTATGTGGGGCGTACTCAGCTCGTAAGCTTAGCGTACTCCATCTAGGGATAGTATGCGCAACGTACTAGCTGGGTACGCCCAACGTACTCCCCAGTTTGCCAACCTACTCCATTAAGCCCTTAATCGGTTGAGACCTCAAGCCAAACTCTCAAATATGGTCCTAAAGGGGAACTTATCACATAAAGTTGGCAACTGTATACTCATGCATGGCTTTATAGGACTCAAAGGCTCAAAGGGAGCTTAATAAAGGTCTTAATACATGCATGGACCAAAAACATCCATAAAGATTGCATTTTTATGAACATGGGGACTGAATGGAGCTAAGATCTAGCATCCATTGCTTCTAGAGTAGATCAAAAGCTCATGTTTGCTTCAAAAGACCCAAAAATGCCCAAGAAGCACCACAAAGTAGATCTAACATAAATGATCATCAAGGTGTGAGCTCTTTTACCTTAAAAGCATTGAAAATGATAAGGTGATCCTATATCTACTAGCCCAGCTACTCCTCCAACTGGTCCTCTTCTTCTTCTCCTTCACAAACCACCAACAAATACTCTTTCAAGCTCAAAACTCACAAAATCACTCTAGGGTTTGAATTTCAAGGTAAGGGGAGGTGGAGGCTGGTCTAAAATGTCAAATAGATGGGTTTAAGTTGCTTAAATAGGGAACAAACCCTAAAAATTAGTGTTTGTCCCAGCCTTGCGTACGCCATGTGTACTCCATGTACGCCTTGTGTACGTGGGTGGAACCCGTGATCATCGCGATGGCTA